AATGTATATCTTTTTATATTGCTTGGTTTTCCTGCCAATGTGTCAGGTTACTCTTTTGTAAAGGTATGAGAAAGTCAAAACATCTCATACATAGGCATCCAGTGGGTGGCGGCATCAAGAGGGAAGAGATGAAATGTGTGTCATCTGTTGCAACACAAACCCTGTGTTTTATACTGGTATTCAAAGTTGGGATGAAAGAAGAAAAGGGCAGAGTTTGCAATATGGCATCAGATGCATGTGTCGTCATTGCAGCTAATGATAGATGGCTATGATCTCGTATTTCATTTGCCAGTTCCTCTGACATGCAGCTATTACAAACCACGCATGGTGTACATAGAAAAAAAAGGTACGAGGGAAGCCGATCCAGAATTACTGGGATGAAGGTGGACTTTTTTTTTCAACTAGTGCAATTTATAGTTGATCATCTAAATGCACAGCTGTAATATTCGTGAGGTGTATGCTTGTGTGAAAGGGGGGACTATATAAACTAATCTATACATTACAGCATGTGATTATCCTTCCCTGTTGCACTCCTCTATATTTGCTAAAAATATGCTTTGTTTGTAACTTCTAGCAAAGGTTTGGAGACATCCAGTCCTCCCCAGAGCAAAGACTTACTTGCTGTTCACCAGTTGGACACACCATCAATGTCTTCCCAGTCCTGAAAAGTGGCTGTCTGTCTCAATTTGTTGGGGCCTGACTTGGGTTAGCTACCCCATGTCAGCTTGTTTACCAACACACACACCTCTGCACACGCATATACACGCACTCAATCCTTTCTACTTCTTTCACCCTTCCTCCCTGTGGCCCTAAGGGGGTTAAAAAGGAATTTGACAGACTTCTTAGAGCAGCCCATTTTTTAGGGCCTGACTGGAGGTTTAACCCTCTATTAATTCTCTCAACACTTTTCCCCCAGCCTAGCTGAATGGCAGAGTTTAGTACAAATTTCCCTTTTAAAGCTCCCCAACTAACCCAGTGAAGCTTATTGTGTGAATTTTTTTTTTTTTTTTGTCTGCGCTCAGTCATTGCTGAC